TATTTTGGTGTATCTGGGATTTCAGAAAGCATTTGACAGGGTTACAATTAATATACTTTTAAGGTTATTTCCTTCCAAATCATACTTATAATTCAAATTATGATAACCCACATGCACTATCTTACATTTATTATAATTAAAACCTATCTGTCAGTTATTCACCCAATTCACTAAATGATCTTAATATTTTGCAAAGCAGCAACATCCTCTTCACAGCTAACAACTTCAAATATCTTAATATCATAAGCAAATTTAAATAATTTATTGATCCTTCCTTCAACTATGTCATTGATGTAAATCAAAGAGCAAAAGTAATAACACTGAGCCCTGAGATATCCTATATGTAACATTAATCCAGTTCGACTGAGCTCCATTTATTAGAACCCTCTGCTTTTTTACATCCAGCCACTCTTCTGTCCAATTAGCTAACTTAGCTCCCACACCTAGAGAGAGAGAGAGATTTTTTAAAAGCCTTTTAAGTTGAATGGTTTCTGAAAATCCAAATACACCAAATATACTCCACCCTTATCAACATAACCAGCAACCTTTTCCCATGTTTGTATTTTATCCTGTTTTAAGTCCGAGGTAATGTAAATATATTTTGAAACATAAACATCAGAATATAATGACAGTGGACAGCTCGAAGTTATATGGAATTGGTTTGTTCATATATAGCCAGGTGTAAAGTATAGAGCTGGTTGTTAACTATAAAATAGGCCTAAAACTATTCTATTATCGCCCATAGAGCTGTAGTTATCCCATTTATTTTCCTCTTAAAAGACACAAGTGCACTATTAAGTCTTATCTTTGAAAGGAGCGAGGTTTGATAAGTTATATTTGTATGTGGGTTTTTATATTTAACCGCCTGATGACTTATGTAATTGCTGTAGTTAGGTATGGAATGAATGAAAAGAATCTGCTTTATTTACTCCTCAAAATGCTCAGTATCGTTCTCGCGACGACCTTGGCACACCATATAAGTAAAATTGTGTCCCTATGTACTTCATTTCTAACCTGTCCAGCCCATATTCGATGTACAATACTGAAACATCTCTGCGGCCAGAGGAAACATCACCAACTAAAGAACAAATGGCAAAGCAATTATACCAAGGCAAAAATTAATGAATTGTTGGACCACGTTTTACTGCTGTGACAGTGCAGAAACTAATCATTCAATAATTTCGAAACTTTAACGTTTATTATGGAAGGTAGAAAACTCATGATATGCCCTCATATCATATGTGTAATAATAAAAGGGTGTGTGACCACCATATTTCTAAGAGGAAAGAGCCTAGAAACCTGAAATTTTCACACATACTAAGTGGATCCTGAGGGTGTGCACCTGTTTATTATTACTTATACACGTGCATGCATATCTTTTTAATAAGGCAAACTAGCAAAAAACCACATAGAAATGAAGTGTGACCACCATAGCTCAAAGGGGAAGAATAGACACCTGAAATTTTACACCCATACTGAGGGTGTGCACCTGGGTGTTCCTTATCTTATCCACGTGTGTGCGAGAGTGCATATTTTTAATGAGGCAAACTAGCGAAAAACCACATAGAAAAGAAGTGGTTCCTTATATTACAAATATAAATCACATTCAGACAGATAGAGATACACTCACGTGAGCGCGTGCACTTTCATTTCTGTGTCTGTGTGACCGCCATAGCTTCAAGAGCAAAGAACTTAGAAAGCTGAAATTTTCCATCCATACTAAGTGGACCCTGAGGGTGTGCACCTGAGTATCATTACTTATTCACGTGCATACACGCGCTCATCTTTTTTTAGGGCAAGCTAGCGAGAAGTCACATCGAAAAAAGATGGTTCCTTACATTAGAAATAGAAATCGCAGACAGACACATACATGCATGCGTGCACACGTGTGTGTCTGTGTGCGTGTGACTGCCATAGCTCCAAGAGAAAAGAACCTAGAAATCTGAAATGCTGCACCCGTACTAAGTAGACCCTGACAATGTGCACCTGGGTATTATTTATCTTATCCATGTGTGCATGTGCACATCTTTTTAATGGGGGGCAAGGTAGCAAAAACCCACATAGAAAAGTAGTGGTTTCTTATATTACAAATATAAATCATAAACAGACACGTACGGGCATGTGCACACCACGTGCGTGTCTCTCTGTGTGTGACCACCATAGCTCCACGAGGAAAGAACCTAGAAACCTGATATTTTCCACCCATACTAAGTGGACTCTGAGGGTGTGCACCTGGGTATTATTTGTCTTATTCACGTGCGCGCATGCGCATCTCTTTAATGGGGCAAGGCAGCAAAAAACCACATAGAAAGGGAGTGGTTCCTTATATCATAAATAGAAATCGCAGACAGACACGCATAGGCATGCGCCTGCCACATGCGTGCTTCCTTATATAACAACTTATAATATATAGAAAAGCCAATGCATTTTGTTAACAATACATTCCAACAATGGCATTTATATCACGTTGCTTAGCAAGAAAAGTATATAGGTTATACTTTTATGCTAAAATAGGTTCAGAATACACACACACTGAAATAGTCTTCTATCAACCTAATAACCCGAGCGAAGTCGTGTACTTTAGCTTGTATATTTGTAGAGAGAGTTTGTCATTTCGTAATGATGATGATGCTGTGATCCAGAGATTTTATGTTGTGTGTATAAAACGAGTATAA